TAAAAAAAAAAAAAAAAAAAAAAAAAAAGCCAAAAAAACCCATAATGATAAAGGGGTTAATTCACCAAGAGAATATAATGATTCCAAATGTTTATGCATCTTGCCTGGTATGATGGCACATGCCATCCTAGCACTTTGGAGGGTGAGAAAGGAGGATTGTGGTGAGACAGAGGCCAGCTTGGCGATAGTGAGTTCAAGGCCAGCCTAAACTACATAGCTGAGATCCTGTCTCAAGAAAAAAAGAAAAAAATAAATAAAGCCCCACCTAAATGCTTATGTACCTAGTAATAGTGTTTCAAAATACATGAAGCCAAATATCATACAACTGCAAGAAGAAATACACAATCACAGTAGGAGAGTTCAACACTCTCTGTCAGTATATATGACAAGCAGACAGAAAGTCATAAGGAATTTCAGCATCACAATCAACCAATTTGACTTAAATGACTTTTCTAGAATATTCAACCTAAGGATAACAGAATATACATTCTTTTCAATGAAAACAGGTAAGTTGCCTATACAGAACATATTCCGACCTATAGAACTACCAATAAATTTAGAAGAACTAGAGTCAGACAAAATCCAATCCTTGAGCACAATGGAATTAAGTTTGAAAACCAAAAGGGAAATTCCTAAATATCTGAAAAGTAAATAATGTCTTGCTGTGTAACCTATGGGTCAAAGGATAAATCAACAAAAAACAGAAAGAACTTCAAATGAACAAAAATATAAGCACAAAACATCAGAACTTTTGGAATACTGGTACTTTAGTAGTTGGTAGGACATTTACATCACCCAAGTATTTGTATTACAAAAGAAGAAAGGTCTGCAATCAGTGACCTCAATTTTTTACTTTAAGAGTGAGTGAACGAAGAACAAATCATATTTAAAATAAGTACAAGAAATGGGATAATAAAGGAAGAAGTGAAACAAAAAAAGTAATAGAGATGAATCGATGAAGCAGAAAATTGTTCTTTTAGATTAATAAAATTGATAACATTGTAACCATTCAAATCAGAAAAAAATACTGAATGAGAATCTACAACTAATTAAAAAAGTAATAATGTACTTTAGATGACACCATTTCTTGAATTGTGACAAGCATTTTTGACCTATCCTCTCACTTAATCTTGTCACCAACTAATGAGACAAATTTATTCTCACTTTACAGACAAATAAATTTATTTTGGAAAGGTCAAGTAACTTGCTTAAAGCCTTATGCAAAGTAGGTTAAATGGATAGAATATGAAACCCAATCTGGATCTAAAGCTCACATTTGAAGTTACTATGGTATTAAAACTAGCTATTATAAGATACAGTAAGAAATACATGGAAAGGTAGTTTAAAAAACATTGTGAAAACTACGGAATTTGGGTTTTATTGTGAAAGCAATGGGGAATTTTTAAGCATAAGACTAAAATTGTGAGGTATACGTCAATAAAATTAATCTGGTTTGGAGGCTACTGCCTACTTCAGAGAGAAGATTATAAAATACAAATTAGGAAGTGACAACAGAAGAAAGAAGATGTGCCATTAGACAGCAGGAGAGAGATGGATCAAGTCCCAGCAATTCATCTGGATGTTCTAAGAAGGAAAGAAGAAAAATTAAAATTACCCCGGATCCAAGCTTGGAGAACATGAAGAGTGGCGATACTATAACAGAAACAGAAACTACAAGAAAGGGCTTGTGGGGACCTGAGCCGTGGCAAAAGTGCATCTCAGGTGAGGTTATCAGGCAGACTGAAGCCATGAAAGGGATCAAAATTATGTGAATAAGTAAAGACATGAAGTTAGTGGAGAAATACAGAATAAGAGATATAGAAAATAAAAAGCAAAGATAGATTTTCAGGAAGTGAACCTAGAGTGCGACACACCCTTGCAGGTCACGCCCCCAGTGTCCGCCTCTTCTGACCAGACCCCGCCTAACAGCAGGTTAGCTGCAGCGCCCCCATATTCCTCCTCCTACAAGCCCTGCCTCAGAGCCATGAGTCTTTGGGTTATGAACCGCAATAGCAACAATGTCAAAAATGTCAAAAAATACGGCCAGAGAACCAAAGGGAAGTCAGGGGATCTGGAACAAGAAATCGTGTTGAGTAGCTTTTCCAGAGTGGTGAGGGCAAAACCAGATTGCAGGTGATAAACCAGACCAAGCGGAGTAGCCAAAATGTAAAAGGAACGACAAGGTGATTCTCATAGGAAATTGTGTTCTGAAAAGAGACAGGACAAGGTCTGAGTTACTGGAAGAGAGATTTTATTTTAGAATGAGCCAAAAAATATCTTTGTAGCTGCAGTAAGAGAGATTAAGAGGAATACTAAGAGAGGATAATTACTGGAGCAAGGTCACAGAGCAGGTCAGAAGTGGTCTGATCACAGGTAGAAGCAGTATGACCCCCGAAGTGCCCAATATTCTTTTCACAGACAAAAAGGAACAGGAGAAATGAATGGAAATAATGAGAAGTATGATGAAGAATTGAACACAGAATGTTCACGTCACATAGCCTCATACTCAACCTGTAGAGGAGGCAGAAGCATGGCAGGTTTGGGCTTTCCGTGCTGACGTTTGAGCTAATGAAAACAAATTCTGATGCAACATTCGTGGAAACAGACACCCTCTACGTACTTATCAAAAAGGATATACAATTTATGCTGGTTATACATAAATATTCTGAATAAGATGTAGATATGCTTTTGAATAATCTGGAATTTGAGAAATGTCGATTTGGCTAAATTTGTTATCATCAGGAAAACATGGAACTCCGATGCTGTTTAGCTGCTAATAATTAGGACAGGTGAAGTGAGAAGTGGTTTTTGAAGTGATAATCAAAAGACTAACTTTGAACTATAATGAAAGCATTTTTGAAAATTATTATTTTTGCAGCACTTAAGAATAAAGCTAGGGTCTGGGTGTGGTGCCCCATGCCTTTTGTCTCAGCACTCAGGAGGCTTAGGCAGGACGACTGCCATGAGTTTGAGGTCAGCTTGGACTACATAGTGAAATCTTGTCTCAAAAAAAAGAAAACAAAAAAGGGTGAAGCTAGGGTTTTCACACTGAGCTATATTTCCAGTCCACCAGCCTGCCTGCCTGCCTTTCTTCTTTCTTTTTTCTTGAGACAAAAATTTCACTAAGTTGCCCAAATTAGGTTTGAATTTGTGATCCTCTTGCTTCAGCCTTCCAGAGTGCTGAGATTAAAAGTGTGAGCCTAGTTTGAAAATTATTTCTTTGATATCTCTTTCTCTTTCTCTCTTTCTTTCTCTCCCTCTTTCTTTTTTTTTTTTTAGTGGGTACCAGGGATCGAACTCAGGACCTTGCAAGCGCAGTGTCACTGAGCAAAATACCTGGCCCTTTTTGATATATCTTTAAATCAATTAACTCAAAAGGCCCAGGCTGAACAGTTTTAGATTTGGTATTTATTTTGTGTTAGCCATATCTAAAAATGTCAGCTAAATTCTGAAAATCTAAGACTACTCTATATGGACTTCTATAATATTAAATCCTCAAGTTGAAATAAAATACAATTTAAAATAATGAAGGGAAGATAAAAATTACATGATAGAACTTATGTCAAAGAGTAAATGTTTCACATTTTAATAGTCTCCTAGAGCTTTCAGAAATGAATTACAAGGAAACTATATTTACCTAATGTTAATAACCTGACTAAACACTAGTTATAAAAATTACATGCTGTTGGGCCGGGGATTTAGCTCAGCGGTTCAGTGGCCTGCCTCGCAAGCACAAGGACCTGAGTTCAATCTCCGGTACCAAAAAAAAAAAAAAAAAAAAATCACATACCCTTAACAACTTACCTCTCAAGATGAACATAATGTCGGGAAAGAACATTTTTAACCAAAAACACAGTCTTTGTAGTAGTCTCTGGACCCATCAATTTGGAAAAATGTAATTTTGCACGAAGAAAATATCCAACAGGCCATAGCCACTCCTAAAACAATCATTTAAAAGTTAAAAAAAAAAAAAAAAGAGGTGTGAATATCTAAAATTATAGTACTTAAAAAAATTTAAACTACAAAAATCAGAAGAAAATTCTTACGGGTCCTTGATGATAATTGAAACCTCTAGCAAGATTGTAGTTGTCATTGTCTAAGGCATTGTCATAAATTCCACAGTAAACCATATCACTGCAAAATAATTGGAATTTAAGTTAAATAAAAGATCAGATTCCATATAGGAAACATTTAAAAAATTTCAGTAGCAAAAGTAAGAGAAATAATCAAATCATTTTGTCCTCCAACCTATAAAAGAAATTCAGCATTAGTACATGGTTTAACCTTAAATTAGTATATAGTGAGTTCATAGGATTTTAATACTGTTTAGGAATGATTAACAAATGCTTACTGGTTATTATAAAAAAGTATAGAATATTCTGGCCTTTAAGGAGTTAGTGTGATACTAAATATTGGTTGGTTTAAAGTCAACTATTTCACTAAGTTTCTAATATATGTATAATAATTAAAATATCCATACAATTTCTTTCATTGCTTTTTTGACACAGTTTTGCTATGTAGTCGAGACTAGCTTTGAACTTGCAGTGGTCCTCCTGCCTCAGCTTCCCTAAGGGAAGCTTGGATTTCAGGCATGTACCACCATGCCTGGCCTAATCATGTATTACTTTTATAATCAGAAAAAGCCATTAGAAAATATTCAGGACATACCAGTTTTTTAAAGTTAAAAATTTTAATCGATTACTAAATATAGGCAAACCAGAGGCATTTGGAAGACTGATGCTTAATGAAGATAAAAGATGTTTGAATGGAACAAGAGATGATATCTGTAAACAAAAATTAATGGCTGATGTCAATGGACTTATGTTAAATATAATATCAACAATATTTTTATACTGTATTCCAACTTACTCTGGATCTAAGGTTTTCATGCCTAGGGGACCCAGCAATTTTTTTTCTGCAATCTCCAAAGCTTTCCATGCTTTTCCTGCAGTAAAGAGCTCAGGGGCCTAATAAATGTCAAAAACAAATATATATAAACTTTAAAAAATCATGGAAGAATTAGTTCCCATCCATACAAATTAGTCACAGACTTGGAAAATAATGAAAATTATCTAAAAATACAGCATGGGCCAGAATTTGAGAGCAAATGCCTAATGAAATCTAAATGTATAAGGCTGACTTGAAAGCTCTGTTCATAGTCTTAGAAGTTGAGAAAGCACGTAAAGGTGTTTTATTTCCTTATGTCACTTAAAGAACATATACCAGATCCCCAGAAAAGTTTCCATGGCTATAATGAAGGTAGAACTCACTTAAAACATTTAATTCATTCCTTAGAAGATTTATAAGTATTTTAAGTATAACTGAGCATGTTTTTCTGTTCTTTTTCTTTTTTCTTTTGGAGCCATAAGAAAATACTACAGAAGAACTTGTATTTCAATAGCATGAACAGTTACTTATGGAGGAGAGGAGTCGGCATTAATTTTAATGGTCAACCAAAAATCTGCTTTATTTATTTTTGGTACTGAACTTAGGACCTTGAGCTTGCCAGGAAGGTGCAGCACCATTGAGTTACATCTCTGCTCCAGTCTGCATTAATTTTAGTGGTTAAATCAAATGCACACGGAGCCAAAGCTACTTTCATTTGCCTATGTGTACTGCACTACAATTTATAATACCGTATTTAGTGGGGTTTTTTTTTGCTTTGTTTTGTTTTGGGTTTTTTTTGGTGCTGGGGATCAATCCCAGGCAACCAATAGCTCTCTACCACTGAGCTATTTTCCTATGTGTTTAGTAATCTTTTGGTGAAGTGCAAACAGCTAGACAGGCATGGACTAATACAAATGTTTATTTTATTGCTTCTGTAGTTTATTGTTAGGTTAAGTGGAGACTTGGTAATTCACTAGTTTAGAGCTTTCTGCCATGTATCTCAAGGCACTGGCTGTATGCACCACAGGTGTCTAAAGATGCAGATACCATCAGTTTTCTGGGCAGTTGGGATGGCGGTGGCTAACTGCATTAATTAGATTTGGCACATGGAAGCTAATCCAGTTAGTCCATCATGCTGCACAACTGTCATTTTCTACATACACCATGATGTGAAAAAACATCAGGAAGCACTTCCTTAATTATCATTCATTTTCGGCTCAAGGACCCGAGTTCGATCCCTGGTACCAAAAAAAAAGTCCATTTTTCACAGGGCTAGGGATTTAGCTCAGTGGTTGTGGCACCTGCCTCACAATCATCATTCATTTTCTATTTCTTGATACTGAATGGTACTGGTTAAAGATGATATACACAACTTATTAATTAGTGAAGACTATACAAAACTAGCACGTAATATCTTTTATAGTTAGATGAATTTGAAAAAAAAAACAGGCAATAAAAGGTAAGTCATATCACAAAATTTTAGGAACTTTAAAAGTAACAAATCTCTTACCACAACCATTGCTATGGTAAAGTTAGGCCTGAGCTGGTAGTCACACCAAGGGCTTGAAGCTCCATAACTATCTTTGTATATGCCCCGTTTGTGAACTAGATTCGGATGTTTCTCATTTGGATCTGAATGGTCTTCTGAAACATGAAACAGCTTCTCAAAGTTGTCTTGTATTTTCCTGTTCCATTCATCATATGAGACTGCTACAACCTTCCCTGAAAAATGATAAGAGATGGCAATGTAGACAAAGCAATTTAAACGTTAATTTATAGCCAAAGTCATATTTTTTAACTTTTTTTTTACCTACTAAACATATTTTCCACTTTTTGAAAATGTGGCTAGTCTGAAATGGGACTGCAATAAGTGAAAATGAATCCAGATTTTCTTTTCATGGTACCAGGGATTGAACTTAGGACTTTGCACTTTGAGACAGGCACAGAGCCACTGAGCTAAATCCCTGGCCCTTCAGAATAATTTTATATTGCTTACATGTTTAACAGTATTTTGTATTAAATAAAATACTGACTTAAATAAAACATCTTATAGTTAATTTCACCTGTTTTTACTTTTTTCAAATGTGAGTGCTACAGAATTTTAAATTATGTATGTAGCGCAAATATTTCCATTGGACAGTATTCTTCCAGGAAAAATGCAAAAATTTAAAAATTATTAATGGAAAAGCTGGACACGGCGGTGCACACCTATAATCCTAGCACTCAGAAGGATGAGGCAGGAGGACTGCTGTGATTTCAAGGCCAGCCTAAGCTACAAAAGGAATCCTATCTTAAAAAAAAAAAAAATCAGAGAAATGCCAACTTACTCATATTGAGGAAAAACAAGCACAATAAGGTTACAACTATGGCATTTTTCTTATCTCAGTTTAAATATAAAAATATGGTTAGTAACCAGGTCTGTTATCACTACCATGCTAGTATATTATATTTCTTTTCCTCTTTAAATTTAAAGTTTTCTAGTATTAGCTGAGTCAATCAATTGCTGATTATATAGTTTAAGAATATAGAGAGTACATTAGAAATTTCTTTGTAAACAAACAAGCAAACAAACAACTTACCGTGCCTTTTTACTCTAACTTCATGATAAGGGAAAATTTTTTTTTTTGATAATTCCAGCAGCCAGCGAACAGCAGATTTACAAAGGCCTACAATTTCCACAGCAGACCCATCTCTAAAATTAAAAAGAAATTTTATTTTATGAACTGGACTCACTTAAGCATTATTTAAAAAGGCATTCTGGCGGGCTTGGTGGTGTCTGTAATCCTAGAAGCTCAAGTGGCTGAGGGAGGAAAAGCACAACTTGGATGCCAGCCTAGGCAACTTAGGGAGACTTTATCTTAAAATGAAGAGGTATAGCTCAGTATAAAGGCCCTGGGTTAAATTACTAGTACCATACACTCACCACTCACACTCACACACACACACGGGCACTGCATAATAAATACTATAACTAGTGTATTGTACAAACAACTATCAACAGAAATTTTTTAAAAATGTATTTATTTATTTTTAGTACCAGGGATGGAACTCGGGCCCTTGTGCTTGTGAGGTAGGCAGCAGAACCACTGAGACAAATCCCTGGCCCTACCACCAGAATATCTTTACTTTGTAAGGAATATGCAATCTTACAAGCGATCTCATTACTGTTTCCTAACATTTTTAGAAGCTCATTTTTAAGGAAAATAAAAATACAAAATCTAAACACATGTCCTAAAAAACAGGTGTTTAGAAGAATTTTCACAGTATGTAAAGATAGCAACATTTTTGTTTTGATGTGTTATGGATCAAACCCAAGGCCTCACATGTGTTAGGTGTACCATTGAGCTACACTCCAAGTCTTATAGTAACTGTTAACTAGCTTTTTAATAACTCTAAGTGAAGGTACAGTTTTGAATAAGAAAACAGCCTCTTACATTAATCTAGCAGCATAAGCTATTTGCTGATAGCTTCTGAAATTTTAAAAAGAAAAACCCCTAAATGACAAATTATGGGATAAATGATAAAAATTAGGGAGAAAAAGTTCAAGAAAACATTTTGCAAAAGACACAACAATAGTTTACAAGAGACAGGCATAATGAAATGTTTACACTGAAATGAATTCAGTGTAAGAACACATCTTAATTACTGGGATGATGAATATACAACTCTCCTTTGAGGGACTTGAACAGACTGAAACCATGAGAACTTCCAGAAGACAACAGTCAGCTCTGCTTGTTGATTTATACCAAGAGGAATATGTGTTTTTACAACAGGAAGTGGAAGGAATAAATGGAAAAGGAAGTGGAAGAGAGGGAAAAAAGCAGATCATGATTGATTTAATATGAAGATTTCATGGTTAATAAACGATTCCACAGGTATGAGTTTCCTTTAACGTGAATGTGATAAATTAAAAGGGTGTAAGTGCATAGGCACTGTTAAACTACCTTGGAGTGGCTGGAATTCCTCTGTTTCTAGCTCTATCACTTTCTCCCATTTTATCCATCCACGTGCCACAATTGAAGCGGTTTCCGCCATAAACAAATCCTGTTTCTTCATCAATCCCTGCTGTTATATTAAAACCTAAAAAAAGTAAAATAAAACATTTATAAAATAAAATGTTTTATAGCAAGCATAAACGGTATACAAAAGTAAATATTTCATTTAAAACATTTATAGAAGTGTTAGGGATATAATAAAACCAGGACAACTACTCTGAAGATCTATTTGGTAATAATACCGTGTAAGTTAAAGATGTATATATTCAGCCATATTATAATTTCATTTATCTTTATACATACTCAAAAGAAACTCTTACCTATGTGCACATGGAGATGTGTATAAGAATATTCATTGTAACACTGTTTATATTAGGAAAAAATAAACAACCGCTCAGTAGAGTAGTGAATGAACACTGCTGTTTATACAAGGGGCAATTCCCATATGATATACAACTCTCACATGGATTTGCATGTGTCAAAACTGATGCACCAGCAAGAGGAAATGATTCAACAAGCTGTAAAAGGGTATGTATAATAACAGATCTTTTATTTTTTTAAAACATAAGTACTAATATAAACAACTATGCCTGCCTTGATGGCTAGGTCTAATTAATGTTATCTGTACAGATTTAAAAAATATATACAATAGTTTATGCACACTATATATTCTGTAGTAGTACAGAGTAAATACTGTAAAATATACTACATGTAATTTTTATACACTAAAACACATAGGCACACTAAGTATGAAAACAACATGGAAATAGTAAGCCTGGCCATGTATGATGGTGCACACCTGTAATCCCAGCACTTGGGAGGCTGAGGCAGGAGGATCACCATGAGTTTGAGGCCAGCCTGGAGTACACAGTGAGTTCAAGTCCATCCTGAACTACATAGTGAGACCCTGTCCTCCACCCCGCCAAAAAGTAAGCCTGATTATCAGATAGTCATTAACTGTAGAAAAGAAGGAAACAAACAAAAAAAAAGAAATGAAGATTTGAATATATTTTATATAGTCCTTTTCATTTACTTTGAAAATATGTGAAGAAAACATAGTCAAATATTAATACTTGTTTAATCTCAGTACTAAGTTCAAAAGTAAAATTTATATTACATCCTATTAGTTATTCCAGTTTAAAAACTAAAATAATTCAGACATGTCACAAAAAGTTTTTAAATATAAAATCTATTTCTATTGACTTCTTTTAGTGAAAATAAAAAAATATCAGCAATTGTTGCCATACAATTTGGATTAATATATGTATGCTACCACCACAAATAATAAATTAACAACTTTTGATTACTACATGAAATTTAATTTAGAATATACAAGCAAGAATTTCAAGCCGGGCATGGTGGCACATGCCTGTAATCTCAGCACTCGGGAGGCTGAGGCAGGAGGATCACTGTGAGTTCGAGACCAGTGTGGCTACATAGTGAGTTCCAGGTCAGTCTCAACTACACAGTGAGACCCTGTCTCAAAAAACAAACAAACAAATAAACAAAAAAGAATTTCACAAGTCTACATCAATATTTGCCAGTAAGATGGTGAGTTACCTAGAATGTCTTGAATAGATCACTTCAAAAAAGCTTACTACTTTATGCTTTAAAATGTCATTATACTATGCCAGGCATGGTGGCGCATGCCTGTAATCCCAGAACTGGGGAGGTTGAGGGAGGAGGATCACTGTGAGTTCGAGACCAGCCTGGGCTACATAGTGAGTTCCAGGTCAGTCTCAACTACATAATGAGACTCTGTCTCAAAAAATTAAAAAAATATCATTATACTAATAAAAAGAGCATTAAAAACTCCACAATCCTATACAATAGCTTACACACTTCCTTCTAGTCTTTTCATACAGTAATATTCCATAAATATTATGTATATTTTAGTGTATTTGATACACCCAGTCTATATAGTCATATGTATAATTTGTAGCCACTACAGAATTTTTTCATTCTAATAATAATAAACACTTCTGCTAGATGTAAAGGTTGTTCTCTTATGTAGTTATAAGCAATCTTATGATCAACATTATTTTGTACTATGAATTTTTATGTATTTTAGATTATTTTATAGGTTAGATACTCACAAGTGGAATAAATCCATAAACAAAAATATAAATATTTTATAACTCACAAAACTTTTCTAAAATTGCTTTCAAAAAGGGATGAACTGGGCCAGGAATTTAGTTCAGTAGTTCTGCCACCTGCCTCACAAGCGCAAGGACCTGAGTTTGATCCCTGGTACCCGCCCCCCAAAAAAGGAATGAATTAGGTGGGTACAGTGTTGAATGCCTGTAATCCCAACTCCTCAATAACTGTGGTAGGATCCCAAGTTCACAGCCAGTCTTCTTTATTATTTTTTGAGATAGAATCTTTCTATATAGCTCAGGCGGGCCTTGAACTTGCAACAATCCTCTAGCCTCAGACTCTGGAGTGCTCAGATTACAGGTGGACACCACCACACCTGCTAGTCTAGACCATTTAGAGAGATCCTGTTTGAAAATAAAAAAGGCACAGGGATGAAGCTCAATGGCAGAGCCCTTGCCTAGCACAAGGTCCTGGGTTAACCCCACTACTGCAAAATAACCCAAAAACCAAAAAACGAAAAACACTCACAAAGGACTGAATCCATTTCTAATACCATAACAATATATGAATACCTGTCAAAATTAAAGCTGCTACAACTAGAGAAAACAATCTAACGATGCATTTGGAACCAGAAGAGAACTAGAATAGCAAAAGCAATGCTAGGCAACAAAGACAATGTAGGGCGTATCACAATCCTAAACTTTAAACTGTACTACAAAGCCACTGTGATAAAAACAGCATGGTATTGGCAAAGAAATAGACCCCAGGATCAATGGAACAGATTAGAAGATGCAGAAACAACTCCAGACATACTCAATTTTAGTATATGTGCTGCTGAAGTGAGCACAACTCCAGACATACTCAGCTACCTCATTTTGGACAAAGGAGCCAAACATCCTCACTGGAGGAAAGATAGCCTCTTTAACAAGAGGTACTGGAAAAACTGGGTTTCAACCTGCCAAAGATTAAAACTAGGTCCATATCTTTCACCATGCACTAAACTAAAATTTAAATGAACCAAAGATCTAAATATTAAAACAGAGACACTAAACCTGCTAAAAAAATAGGTTAGATAGAACTCTTGAAGAAACTGGTATAGGAAAAGTCTACATACAAAACCTTAGTTGCATGGCAAGTAGCACAAAGAATCAACAACTGAGATCTCACATCATCAAAAAGCTTTTAAACAGCAAGAGAAACCACCAGAAGAGTGAACAGACAACCCTTAATGTGGGAAAAAATTTTACCAGCTGTTCCTCAAAGGACTAATATTTAGAATATGTAAAGAACTAAAAAAAAAAAAAATCAGAATCCTAAATTTAAAGACCCAATCTAAAAATACACATATGAAATGAACAGACATTTCTCTGAAGTAGAAACAGCAGCCATTCCCTTTCTAGGTATCTGAAAGCATTAAAGACAGAATATTACAGTGATACAAATATACCTATGTTTATAGCAGTACAATTCATAATGGCTAAATCTTGGAAGCAGCCTATATGTTCATCAAGAGATGACTGGGTAAAAAAAAATGTGGTATCTACACACAATGGGGTACTACTCTGCCATAAAGGATAAACTTAAGTCATTTGTAGAAAAATGGGTATACCTTGAGGTCATAATGTTAAGCAAATCAAATATACAAGCTTTAATATTGCATAGTTTCTCTTATATGAGAAACCTAATATATAAATAAAGTGCAAAATTGGGCTGCAGATGTGTGTCAGTGGTATAGCGTTTGCCTAGCATGTACAAGGCTCTGGGTTTGGTTCCCAGCACTACAAAATTAAAAAAGAAATGTGTAGCTTCTATAAATAAAATGTAAAATAAAATACGGACAACAGAAAAGAGAAAAAGAGTTATTGTAATCCAGCATGGCCAATATATCTAAAAGTGTACCTTGATTTAGTATAAATGTTTTGTATGTTTTTGGTCTTGTTGATCTATTAATCTGTTTATGATAATTAACCTGATAAGATTTACAAATAAATAAAAAAATCTGATGCTGGCAAAAAACAAAAACTGTTATTTTTGTTATTTTATGGGTTGAATGAGTCCCTCCTCTCAAATTCATAAATTGAAATCACACCTCACTACATCTGAACATGTTCTTATTTGTAAATATGGCATTACTAGTTGAAAATGAGGGCACTAAACCAGGCGTGGTGGTGCACGCCTGTAATCTCAGCACACGGGAGGCTGAGACAGGAGGATCGCTGCGAGTTCAAGACCAGCCTGGGCTACATAAGGAGTTCCAGGGCAGTCTCAACTACATAATGAGAACCTGTTTCAAAAAAAAAAAAAAAGAGGGCACGAAAGTGGGTGCTAATTCAATTTGACTGGTATCCTTACAGGAGAAAATCTCCATGTGCACAGAGGGAAGACGATGCGAAGATAAAGGGAGAATGTCATGTGTATATGAGGATGTCTACATAACTGAAAGATCTAGAACAGACTGTGTCAATTTGAGTAAGAGACACACAACTAAAGTGGATCAGCATAGTTCTGAATATGTTTCGGTGATTTACTGAAGACCCACTCTAGGGCAGGTTTCACCTGAATGGTACAAGAAGTAGAGATTTTGTGTGTGTACATGTGTACCAGGGATTAAACTCAGGACCCTGTGCTTGAAGGCAGGCAGTGGCACCACTGAGCTAAATCCCCGGGCCATGCATGGTATAAAGAGGAAATGAAGGAGGGAATTCTTCTGTTTCTTTGGAGAAGCTCCAATCTTTGCCTTCAGCCTTGCAGCACAGACCCTTCATTCTCCTGAGACAGACTTAAAAAGGACACTACAGTAGCTCCAGGCCTTTGACTGGATCCTTCAGCTCTCCCGTGTGTAGACAGACCTTTTGCGGTCTTCTACATCTGACTCTGTAGGTGGCCACTGTCAGCCAATCTTGTAAATTCTTATATAATTGTATACGTTGCATTAAATCTGTTTCTCTAGTAAGTACTGACTGATACACCTTCCCTCACAACTCTTAG